GACATATGACATCATTTGTATGTGGAATCTAAAAAAAAAAAAAAGAAACTTTATTTACAAAACAGAAACAGACTCACATAGAAAACAAACTTATGGTTACCAGAGGGGAAGGGGGGTAGGAAGAGACAAACAGAAGTTTCTTTCTTCCGTTTGTAGATGCCCAGGTCACTTACGAGCTAAGAAACAGACTTACAGTTTCTCTAGTTTGAGTTCTGTACACCAGAACTTGCCACAACATTGTAAACTGACTGACTATTCTTCAATAAAAATATAAATAAACAAACATAGGTACATAGTTACTTTTCTATATTGGCAGTTATTTTCCTTCAGCCAGTTTTGCCTTTCCTGTCTCCTTCCTCTCTCTCTACATTTTATTTTCTTTAAAAAAAAAAAAAAAAACTCCCTACATTTTAACTTGTCCTTGCTGCTCCTTCGGTCTGGCAGCAGGAACAGAGTAGTACTCTCCATAACAATGCCAAATTTGCCAAATGGAAACATTCCCAATGTTACACTTTATGTAAAAGTTGTTTTTTTAATTAAAAAATTTTTTTCCAAGCCTAAGATCTTTCTTAAAGCAGTCTTAAGGCATAAAATAATCACAAAAATTAATACGCCATACACCATCAGTAGCAGGAATTTTTTACTTAATGACAAGAGTAACAATTATGGCAAGCATCTAGTCAAATTCCAAGAAAATTTAGCAAACATACTTCTCTCACCTCTTTCCAGTCCTTCTGGAGGAATAAAATCAAACATGTAATTATTACCGCTACAAACAATATTACTTTTCCCCCATAATTGTGACAGAACAGGGATATTTAACAGTGCAGAGAGTGTGTTTCTGGCATTTTTTTAATAGATAAAATTTATATCATTATTGTAGTATGTGTTTTAATAACATTATACATTTAAAATCTGGGTCAGTTACTTGTCATCTGTAATAAGTTTCTGCATGACAGCATTTCAGAATATGTGGAGACGCCTGGGCTGCAAAACCATTAACCCAAGGAAAAAAAAGTGACTCAGATTTGACTGACTTACATTTAACGCACATGACTAATAAGTAGCGAAGGAGCTAAGAATAAATCAGTTACAGTCTAAAAATTCTGCATTTAAGGACTTCTGCCTCACAGTTAACAAAATATTTTAATATACTTGACATAAACTGAATCTAAGAAATCACCCTTGATCTAAAACAGACTCTCGTATATTTTTTAATGACTTACCTGACTACACTTAAGCCATAAAAATCCCAACAGCTTTTACTTCTGTCGTGGGTAAGTCATGACAGAGCTTTGGTTACAAAACATTGCCGTCCACAGGCTTGCGTAGCACCCAGTAAGACGGTGCGCACGCATTAGAATGCTCCCATTTCACTTGTGCTAATAACCTGCCAGTGGAACTCACAATGCAAAGATTTTTAAATCATCAGAAGCAATAATACAAAAGCACACACAATCACCCCAATAAGTCCATCTATTCTTCAACGTTTATAAAATAAATTTCCATCACCGGTTCAGCAGAGTTCATTAAGGAAGCTACATCTGCAAAGATGCTTTTGCCAGTTTGGACCCCTTTCAACCAACTTGAGTGCAAGGGACGAACGAAAAGTTCAAAGGAGGAAGAGAACAAGGATGCTGTCTTGTAAAGGTGGAAAGAAACTGAAGACCAAATAGTCCTTCGGCAGTGATGCATTTTGAAGTCTCCAGTTTGTTCCTCCAGGGTTTCTCGGAGGTCTGCTCCTCAGGAATCCAGACAGGATGTCAGGATGTGGCAGCCCGGAGTTGCAATTCAATGTCATAAAATCATGAAGCAGAGAGGGCTGGGACACCTAAGTGAATGCCGCTCTTCACAGCACAGATATGCAAATGTGACGTTGCTGAAATCCAAGAGAATTTCCAACACAGAGGCCGGGCCAGCAGTCCAAACTCAAGCGCTCTGAATCCTGTCGCTCCTCCAGGAATGGACCATGTCTCTTTGCTACCGTGTTACCTAAAACAAATTTTATAAGTGAGCATTCAGCACAGCATCCCCACCAAAGATCTTCCTTCCTGTTACTGGACCCATAAAGCCCTGTCTGTGTCACATGCACAGAGTTTAGCAGTTTGCACCTTTATCCGTAACCAGCTTCACCAAACCAGCCGTTCGAATCAAATTCTTCTTTGCATTTCTTGCTTTTACGTTGCAAAGAAAAACATGCCCACCCAAAGGCTTCCACAACATGGTACACCGCATCTTAGCTCTGTATCTTGCGGGGTTATGCAAGTCCCATCAGCTTAGCTACGTTCCTTGCCCAGCAGGTTAATTCCTGCATGCTAAGCATGCTCTGTTAATGCCACCAAAAGGTTTTCAAATGAATGATGATTTACATTAGGATCAGAATGTTGCCTTTGCTCTCTTTTTTTTTTTTAGAGATATATAGAACTTTTATTAGATTGTAAAGCTGATCTGTTTCATTTAGTTTGGATTAATATCAGTTTAATTTCAATTAAAAAAAACTTTGCTCTATACAGCTTCATTTCTCTACCACCATGCTGTTATTGTCACAGATCATATCTTTGTAAATTGTGTGCCCAAGAATGTAGATTTATAATTATTGCTTTATGCATTTGTCTTTTAAGTTAGAAGGTGGAAAAGTTACTAATAAAAAGTACATTTTTTTCTGTCTTGTGTTCTTCACCTTTGCTCCTTTTTTAAGGTGGTTAACTTTCAGGTTCAAAAACAGGTTATTTTACAAAGCTACCATATTTACTGGAAAAATACACCCATTAAGAAGTTTATTGCTTCTTCCATGTTTAGGCACCCAGGTTACTTCTGCTCTAAGAAAACAGACTTGCAGTTTCTCTAGTTTGAATTCATCATCATGTAAGAAATTTTACAGGTTAGATCGTCCATATACCAGCTAGGGAAAAGTCAGCTAAAGCGTAAGACTACCATGTCTACATTATGAGAATACTTTTACAGTAAATTACATTATTTGCTCGCATACTCATCCTTCCTGGACTTTAGAAGTAATCAGGTATTTATTCAAACCTCTGACTTTCTTACAGCCTTTATTTCTGCATTCTACAACGTAACTGCTCTTTTGTCTGTGCTGGGGATACTATATAGCGAACAAAATAAAACGCCTGTCTTCATGGAACGGAGCTAGAATAGTAGCTGGCATTCCTTTCCTGGAAAACAATAAACAATAAAGCTTTTCCA